ACATCAATCAGTTCATGTTCTCGATCAAATTACAACTTACCAATTTTTAATCTAAGAAGATGATTGGTTCATGATTTCAACAATAAAAAGGTGTAATCCTAACAAAAATTGTCAAAATAATCTTCCACTTGTTATTTCTAAAAAACACTTACAGAATTTAGTTCACAATGAACATCCAGCATGGCTTTCCATTGACTAAGTGTACAAAACGTACCATGGAAATAAGGTCCCTACCTACTTTGAATCAACACTTCATATTTACAATGGCTTTACTTTGTCAGTTTAAATAAAGCGCTTGAATACTTACAAAGTCAAAAGATTTAATCATAATAATTCATTGGTTATTTTTCTGAAAATATAAGCCTGATTTTATTTTGATAATGTTGATAAAAGATGATGTGAAAACTTAAATTGCTACATACCTCCAAATTTTCTGGTACGATCGAGAATGGGGAGAGTCAGCTCTCCCTCTCCAAATGCTCTAATGTGGCCACGTGCATACAACTACTGCCAGGAAAGTCCTACTCAACTCCTCCCGACGACGGAGTGTTTTTTACGGAATTAAGAGGATGAAAAGCGAATGTATGGCACTTTAACCGGGTTGGTGGAATAAAAGAATTGTTCTAGGGGAGCTGGAAATCATTCATTCCAAACCAATGATGCATATGGACTCCAGAATCGTAAAGGAACAAATGGTGTATGAACCAATGGTTGGTCACCAGCTACAATGGGACTGTATCTCCTTACATTGCTCCACTATCTTGTGGATCAGATCTTTAGGTCAAAGGTTCTGAGTGTGACCCTCTAAGAAAACTACCTGTTTCGGTTTGGGCAGTCGTGTAGTATTTCAGCCCTCACACAAATCAAATGATTTATATGGTGTATATCCATATGGTGCCTCTTTGTACTAATGTATATGTGTTTAAATCAATAAATTGCTACATACACTTTTTGAGATTGCAATTCAGAAAAAGAAATTAGTTACTTTCCCTTAACTTCTATTTGTAATCTTATTATACCCATTCAATCAAATACTCAATTACATAAATAAAATAATGATTAATCGATAAATGTGACCTATTATATACATAGAATCAAATGATAATCAACGAAACATAATTAAATTACATGATACCTTCTTATTAAATAAGATCTAGATTAGCTTAAATTGAGATCATATACAAACACACATATCATTGGAGTACTATTACTTATAAGAAATGTGTACCATAGGACATAATTTATGTGTTATAATGAAAGGTATATATTGATTTCAGAAAAGAAATATACATACATTTTAGAATAGGTTAAAGGTGAGTGTAATTTTCAAGGTTTGAAATCAGTGACGATTAAATATTAAACAAAATAGAATACTTGATCAAATATAACAATTAAAATGATTACCACAAGTTAATTTAAGAAAGGTTTTTGTGGATATTATAGTAATTTCAATGGTTGAATTCATGAGTTAATTGAAGCTAGACCACCATGGATTGGTTGAAGTTAGACATTAACACCATTGGATGCCGGTCAGCTCAGTGGTCTAGTGGTAAAGCGTTCGCGTGCCAGACTGATAGGTCCTGGGTTCGAGTCTAGCAAGGTGGGATTACGGATGCGTACTGCTTAGGAGTCCCACAATAGGACGAAATGGCCGTTCAGTGCTTCCAGTTTTTCCATGATGGTCTAGCTTTAATTGACTCATGATCTCAACTATTAAATTACTATAATATCTACATAAACCCTTCTCTGATTGTAATCATATGCTCACTAGTGACAGGATCCAAGAGGCATTTCCTGGAGTTCTGGTGAGAAGCAGTGACCAGTGGAGTTCAACCGGGTCGGTTGTGAGATAGTAACTCACTGAGGACAATTGTGGACGTGTGGCTTAATTTCGTGGATTAGTTGAAGTTGGACATTAATACCATTGGACGCCGGTCAATTCAGTAGTTTAGAGGTTAAGCGTTCGTGTGAGAGATTGATAGGTTCTGTGTTCGAATCTCGTGAGGAGGGATCGTGAATTTGCACTGCTGAGAAGTCCTATGCTAGGATGCAATGGCCGTCCAATGCCTCCAGGTTTTCCATGATGGTCTAGCTTCAATTGACTCATGAAGTCAACCATTAAATTAAGTTCATTTATTCGAAATGTTTATTACGTAATTTATTGTCAGTAATATGAATCCATATGATGGGTGTTATTAGCTATCTTTTTTTTTTGCATAAAGGATTATTGAGGATTCTAACTAATCCGTGACAGTAGGTTAGAGAACTCATTACTATGAATGAATATACAACATATTTCTAATATAATATGTATGAGCCTTTGGTTATTATTGAAAGATAGAACCTTAGTAACACATTCTTGTTACTTAATGAAAAAACATATTGACTGAGTAATTTTCAATGTTGAAAATGATTGATTAACTCTAGAGTGACAAAATCTATCTGTGTTTCGATGCATCAATTATCTACGAGTTATTGGTTATTTGTGAGAACTAGTTTAAGCTGAATTTTCCAGTTACTCTAAAGTAACACTTTGTACATGTTCTTTAAGTATTCAGCTATACATTACCAATCAAAAGAAATTGTTTGTAAAATAACTGCGATAACACTTCGATATCAGGATCCAACAGATTCCATCTTATCTACATTCTAGTTACTTCTGCTTCAAAATACAAATATTCTAAGGAAGATTTATTTGTGGAGACCAATGTAGATACGTTTTAGGACTGCATCAGTTCGACTGAGAAGAGTTGTCAGTTACCTCACAGCAATCAAGGTATTATACAAGTATACTACTAGAATAGTGTCCATCAGCTTTTTAAAATTGGCGGAAGCCGTTTTTATTTCAAAAAAATAGTCCGGCATACTAGAAAAATAAACGAAATGTATTTATATTCAGTAAGTTGTGACATTCTAGAGCAACTTCTACTTGCAAGTATACATTCGCTAGTTCAAATTTGGTAAAATATATCCATGATTGAGAATGGTAAATAGGTCATTTTTTATTGGAGCAGGACAGTGATTCTGATCTGAAGCTGAGTTGAGATCTGTTTGGCGATCAGCACAAATTCTTAAAGATTACTTCGGTTTATCTATGATGAAAATAGGGATGGGCCAGGCTGGGCAAGTGACATCCATCTGCAGTAATCTATATGATCCCCTCATTAAATTTCGTCAAGGATTCAAAAAGAATGAATTTCTTGGGTTAAAAAACTGGTGAGGCACTAGGTTTTAGTCATAACACTGTCTTCAGAGTTTTATGATTAATTAAACCATATTCGAAAAAATCAGAAAATTATCTGAGTAGTTCAGATTAGTAGTTTGTACACATGATGAGCTAAAATTTATTACATACGGTGACCATCAAAAATGTTGAGATAAAAGAGGTTGAGGTTAGAATCATTGACTCAACATTTTCTAGTGGAAGCGGTATCTCAAAACATTCCTTTTACCGTGTGTTCTCTCAGTAACCTCCAAATGATATATGAAATACTTTTATATCAGAAGCTGTATCTACCTGTAAGCATTCAAGATGTTCATTAACAAATGCGAGAATCAAATTCCACTACCTAGACTTTTTTGTTTGATGTCATATAAACTCAAGGACACAGCTGATGTATTGATTATAG